CATGGACGATACCTCCATCATAAGTGAAAAAGGTGCCGACACAGAAATTATAATGAAGATTTTCAACAATTACTGCCATTCTAATAAGTCCATTTCAGAATACGAAATTTAATTTTTAGATGTTTTATTGAAAAGGAGATCTGATCCTTCTCTTCAGAAGTCAATCTACACGAAGTCAATATGGAGTGGTTGCATCCCTTTGAGGAGAAAAATAAGCCTGGTCATGTACTTATCGCTAAGAATAATAAGCATTTGTACCAGTAACACAATCGATGGTGAACTGAAGAGATACAGAAAAGTCCTCATTGAAATCGGATACCCTATAAGATTCAACGAGAAAAACACGGAAGTAAAGAGGAAGCCTGAAGAACAAGTTGTTCATGAGTCCTGCATTGAAAAGTGATACAGTTACCACTATTCTGAAGAACTGTCTATCCACATCACTACGAGAAAAGCTTTTTACGACTGGGTTACGGAATAATTTGCGGATATGTCTGGGACTAACTAGCGCTTCGGGCCACTTCACTGTGTTTATAATTTCACTTGTTCTTGCGAAGCTAGTTGTATTAGCCCCATAAAGCTGACTCGTTTTAATCTCATCTCCGGATGTTTTCCGACACCGTTATTAAAAGAATAATGCAAGTCAATTCCTACAAATATTCTCGAGAATCTGGTGTATTCAAACCACATCAGAGTCCTCCTTCTAAAATTATCTATGACATATAGTGGAGTACAGGAGGAACGGATGAGGATGTCAAATCGAGAATCGGGAAGGCAAGAAACACATTCATCAACCTGAAACCAATGTGGAAATCTTCGTCACTCAACTCAGCATCAACAACAAAATTCTGGTTTTCAATACAAACGTCAAGTGAGTTCTTCTATACGGATCAGAAACTTGGCGGGTCACAATGAATGTTTCCAACAGGTTGCAGACCTTCACCAACAGCTGTCTTCGTTCTATACTCAAGATCAGATGGCCGGAAAGAATCACCAACAAGAAACTATGGGAACAAACAAAACAAGAACCAATCGCTCAACAAATATGCAGGAGAAAGTGGAGATGGATTGGACACTCGCTGAGGAGGCAGTTGGGTGACATCCCGTGTTAGGCCCTCGAATGGAACCCGAAAGGGAATTGGCGAGTGGGACGTCCAAGGGTGACATGGAAGAGATCGTGTGAAGAAGAGTTGAAACAGTATGGAATAACATGGATGCAAGTGAAAAGTGCAGCACAAGACAGAAACAAGTGGAGACATGCATTTGAAGCCATATGTTCCACTAGGAACCCAAGGGAACAATGATAATGATATAGTGGAGTTGTACAAGGATTGTTATGTTTCGAAACTTGTGTATGATGAAGGTACTAGCCAGTCATCAAAATAATTTCGAACTTTGTGTTCAGAAAGACGTGTTCAGTTTCTTATTCTCCTATGGTCTTGGACTTGAGCATTTTACTAGGTTTTTTCTTCTTACCTTCTTCACAATTTTTGAATGGGTACTCAACTACCCTGTTTCTCATCTAATTGATAACAAATTCTAATTTGTGAAATTCTAAAACTTGACTTCTCTTGTATCGGCATTTATTATGTAACGTTATTTATACAGTTTCATTATTTCTTTTCGCATTTTATTGGAAGTAATATTTTGCATATCAGTGGTACTGGTGTCCACTCATTCCTATGAGCAAAGTTTCAGTAACCAACCTTTCCCTCCACCCACCTACATTACTTTTCAGAAGTGTAGCTCTGCCCCACACTATTGTGTGTTGGTACACGCACTGCAATTACCTGTCATCTTATTTTGGCCAACCACTCTACAGTCAACAAAATCCCTGCGTTCCGATAACTTGAATAACCCTGACTAATGGGACTGACCTCACAGTTCATACATAGTATTTTATAGGCTGTTGCGCTATTTGTAGCTAACTGACCGAAGTTGGAATTTATGCACCATTGGATTCGGTCCGAGGTTTTGAATGGTCTACGAGGTTGCCTTGTAGCCGGAGGGTTGTGTGTTCCATACTACCTTGTAGAGTATCCTGCATTTATTTACACAGTCCTATTTCATCAACTGGGATAATACAGACAGTCATCTGTAGTTTTTTTTAGAATTATCCTTCCTGGTTATTACTACGAACGAATATGGGAAGAGGCTGTATTGTATTTACAATCGACAATAACTTAGAAGTTGACTTAGGCGTTTTGTTTTATGCTTACCATTAAAATGGTGTAACTGCTAACTATAAACATGAGTTTAAAACGTTATCTAATAAATGATATTGTTTTATTTAATATTACGAAATTACCATATATAACACACACATGCACAAAGATGTCCAGTTTCTGGGATTAATAAAAAGACAATTGCAGCGGAGAAAATTTTCTTTTCGACGAAGTCATCATCTAGGCTGTACATTCGTGTATTTGTATCAAATGGATAGGAAAGTTCCAGAATAATTTCTGGTTAGGGGTGAAATTAATAAAAATTACAATTAGGAATTAAAATGACATAACAAACAGGGGGATGGGTAAAACTCAAACAAAGTAGCATTATAATAACTAAGAAGATTGACATTGTGCAATTGGGGGTTAGAAATGTAGAAATAACAAAATATACAGGATGTTTGGATAAATAACTAATATGATGAATAATTGTTTATACAATCAGGGATTAAATATGTAGAAATAGTAAAATGACAAAATAAACAGTAAGAGTGGATATGAAAAGATGGTAGTGTAGACAGGGATTAAGAAAACTTAAAATAACATGAATAAACAGGAAGTTTAGATAAGAAAGGCGATGAGATTGTCATTACTAAAAATTTTACCTGTTTATGATGGCCATGGCAGGGACAGGGGTTGGACGTAATTCTTTTGGATACAAAGTGTGGGTTTGAGCTTTTGAATAGCTAGCGCCTCAGCTATGCCCAGATGTCTTGATTTGACTCTCTTTGATAGGTTTGATTGAATTTTGTATATTACTTTGAAGGATTTTTCGAAAGGCGCTGAATGTCTTGAGTTGACCAGATGCTCTATCACTGAACTGTATACACGTTTTCGGTCTCCTTTTACTAGGCAGGCTGTTCGCGAGCGCGTTTTCCAAGTCGGCGCATGGTACGGCCGATGTACTCAGCTCCACAAGAGCAAGTAAACTGCTTTATGCACGTTGAGGTGGCCCAATGCGACAGCTTGTCTTTCACGTTCTGGCTGAACAGTTTCTTGCAAGAAAACGTCAGTCGTAGGCTCGCGGCGAAGTATGTTTTCCTTAGAGATTTGCAGAGGCGTGTCTGGGATTAGATGGTTGGAGCCAATCGGTAGGAAGCCTTGGACCTAGGTTTCATGCCAGCCGGCACTCGTCAGCAAGGCGTACCTGCAACCTTGAAGGAACTCATGTCCCTCCTGAGATTTGAACCTGCGTTACCCAGCGCTGCAGTCCGAGATGTTACCACTGAGCCATTTGAGATCACATCGTGATGGCGAGCCACCTAGAATGGTGGCCAGATTGCAAACCTAACTGATAGAATTCAGTCTGCACCAAACAGAGGACTAGACACATCACACTAGTTACAAACTAATGTCCAGTCAAAAGTCAAACTTCGCTGCAAATCTCTTCGTCTGTGAACAGTGAAACTATAGGTGCTACAAACGCACTAACGTTGTGTGAACAGTGTTCTGTCTTACTCAAAACTACTCTTTCAGATGTGAGCATCGGAATACCAACCTCATATCTGAAAGACTAGTGCATACTTGAGGTGCATACTTAATGTACACTTTATTTAAAACTAGTGTAGGCTTCATGATCTTGGATAACAATGTAAGGTTGAATTATTTGCAGTAAATTATCTTGTAATATTAATTAAAGAGACACCTAACTTCTCAGATTTCAATGGTATTCAACAAATTCTAATGCTGGTAAATTCTCACATAACAAGGATTCCTAATGCGCGTTGTAAAGCCTCCAACTTACTCTAGGAAGAGCTTATTCATGCACTCAACTAACACATTAACTGATACAGTCGCGGGTGATTTACACGGAATTCAAAAGCCTAACGAATCACTAGAACGATAGTTTGAAACTTTCCAATAGTAAGCAAACAATAGTTCATTTAGATATTATGGTGAAGATATGCAGCTCCGGTGGATTAGTTTGGTGTAGTTATGTTCTTCAAATTGAAATGTACTTTGAGGATGTTGTCTAGTAAAACAAGGACAGCTTCGCGGTAAAACGTTCAGCTCAGAGAACCCAACTACACCAAAAGTAGTTCACATTTAATATTCAATCTCTATCTTATGCTTTAATGTTGAATTAGACAAAATGAAAAAGAGATACACAAAAAGGAAAACAAATAGGGTGGGGGGTGGGAGGATGGTGTTGAATTTTGTAGATACATTACTTCTGTCGTAGAAATTACAATGCGATTTCAGGTGAAAAGTGAGTCTCATTGTAAGAATGAATTTGAAATTTTTTCTGCTGGTGAAAAAAGAAATTGGTTATTTTTAAATTTTATTTTATTGCATCATGAACTTTTTTGCACAAAACACTTTCTCCAGTGTCAACATGTCCACCAATGTGAAAATGAAGACAGAGAAAAAAACATTTGGTCAAAATCTAATGAATCAAGAATACACGAAAGAATTCAAAATATTGAACCAACAATGAACGAAACATAAAGAAGTGGGAGTAAATAAGAAAGAAATATACAAGTGTGAATCAAATAACTTTAAGAAATGTAAAGGTGAATACAGAGGTGGCTGAGGATGAAATTGAAATCAAAGCGTTACATCTTATTCCTCCTCTTTCCCAAGGGATATATGTATTAAAAAAATATCTACTTGTATTGAAACGATGACAATAGAGAGAAATGGAAATAGGACTAGGTAGATTCAGAGACGAAGGAATAAGAAGTACACGAACTTCTGAATTATGCTTTGTTACTGAGATGATTCATTCCCCATATTTTTCTCTTATAGAATTCACAAGCGAGTAAAGAGAATTACTCATACGTAAAATATTCTCACTCTAGATTTGCTAATTAACAGGTCACCATCATAAAAGTGTGTCACGATAACTACATTACCACTAGAAAACAGATAGAAGAGGTAAATAATGAGGCGACTAACGGCTGATGATAACAATAATAATAATAATAACTAAAATAAAATTATAAATAAAACTTCTACTTTAAATTAGAATTATCGGTAAGTAAATTCGTATGAAAAATGGTTTTCGTTGTCATTAGGAATCTATAACATGGAAGGAAAGCCTAACACTGGAGCAAGCTGATTCTACTGCAATTCATAGCGATGATGACACCAATTTAACTTCGGTAACTGAAAGTCTTATCTAAATATCAAATGATTGATTAACATCGTCAACATACTGGCAAAGTGTGTGACACGATAAACACTACTAACTGATATGAGTATTGAGAGATAATTCACATCGAGTTGACCTAGCCTCTACCAGGTAAGTCCTAATCACTGTCTTCACGCCGCAGGGGTGTACTTCACACAAGTGAAAGGGCGAATGGGAACGTCTGGAGCTCGCAACCGGACTGGTGGAAATGAGTAGCTGGAAAACCTTGACTCTAAACATATGGTGTACATGAACTCCAGGATCTGAGAGAAATGAATAGCATATTAACCTGTTTTGATCCCCAGAAATCATGGGAACACATCTCCACTGCCTTGCAAACCAGAATTCAAGTCAAAGATTCAGGGAGTGACCCCTTAAGACCATCACCTGCTTCGGTCTGGCTACCCGGGCAGTATCTTTCACAAAATCTATGAAATTTTGTGTGGCGCATTTCTGGGTGCCTAAAATGAACCAAGTTTGTTTTTTTATAATCAAAATGTAATCTAGACCATCTCCATAGGTGGTATACTAAAAGTGACTTGACTCAGATATCGGAGTCAGTTCAAATCACTCAAATTTCATCTCTCCGAGTTAAGTCTGCCTGGCTTATTGTTGATAAGCTCAATTATCAGCTGTTTAGGTGACTTTGATCCTGCTCCTAAGCCTCAACCATCAACTTTGGCGCTCTTAAATATCCATATCAATAGGTGCAGTTTATGGCGTCGCATATCTCACTTGCTTTCATGGTAGTATTTATGTTATCAAATAGGCTGCGAACTGTGAAGGGATTATTTGGAACTTAGGAAAGATGTCGATAAAAGGATGTTTCTCTCGAACTGTGTGCTTTCCAGATGGCTGAGTTTATTGCGTTTGCACTTCATTCATATCATCCCTTTTAAATGCGAACGAGACTGAGTGCCAGAAAAGTGGTCAGTCGGTTATATTACTTGATATAAGAATAAAACTTGTGCACTTTGGTAGAGTATAATTCCGAAATTTGTTTTAATAAGGTCTCACAGTGTTATACAGTAATGTTTGCTGATGACGTTTCGCATTCAAACCTACAAACTCACTCAGAGACAAGCTCTGTAGGCTAAAAGACCCAGTGGACCCAATTAAACAAAATAATATAATTTACAAAATACCCTGCAGTAACTGAGAGGTCAACTACATAGGTCAAACTAGTAGGTCAGGGGTAGTCAGATTGTCAGAACATAAGAATTTAGCTAAGGCAAGAATGGTTGGCCCCAAGAAGATAAGTAATTTAGAAAAAAGCTCAGCAATCGCACTGCACGCATTTACACACAACCACACAAAAGGGTGAGTGGGAGAGGGTTAAAATTCTAAAAAGTAATCTAGGTAGGTGGAGAGAGAGGTTGATTACTGAATCTTTGTTCATCGAGTCTACACCCAACACGTGCAAAAGAAATAATCACTTATCACTCATACCGGAAATATGGAGAATGCTACTACCAATCAAGTCAAGCGGTGAAAAATAATGGAACTATATAAACGAAGTTAGACAGTTGTGTGAGTACCTTGATATGATTATGAGTAATAAATTGTGCTCGAAACGTCATCAGTAAATTTTACTGTATAACACTGTGAGACTTTATCAAAACAAATTTTACCCATAACGGTTGTATTACTGAAAATGGTTATATTAGCGAGCCTAACTTCAGTATGGGGTTATCGTTGCACTATGCTGAAATGAAATTTCAGTCATAATGGAAGTGTAAATTTATATATTTTTAAAATAAATATCACAGAATATTTTAAAATGTACTTCTTCTTAAAAATATACCAGTGCGTGTCTTTTGTTCATTATACAGAAATTCTTAGTGTTATTTAAGACAGTGAGGCTTAAATAGCTATCTAGATTTAGGTCAGATGGTGATAAGTCAACAAAAATGAATTCTAATTTGCTAGCATATAAAGCTCACCTTAATACTTTAGCTGGAATCATTCGATCAGCTGAATCGGATTGTATTAACGATTGCCATGTATTCGTTGAACCTGGTATTACAAAACCAAATTCAAAACTCCAGTCTGTTAGAACATCAAAGAAAGACATAAAGCCGGTAAACAGTTGAAATTTAAGTACGTCGTACATTGATTATAAGATTCAACGTAGTACATTTTATAATAACCAGACACAAAAGGCGTTAAGTTAGTTGATAACTGAGGTAGATGAAAAAAAACTGGCATTTATGTGAACTACAAATGCTTTGAAAGTGAACTTATTTGAAGAGAAGGCATGAAAGTAGAATGTAGACTTCCTTTTCGATGAATAATTCTCAACAGTTGTACAATCGTATTTATATTTATCAAGGAATTCATAAAAGCAATCATATACTAGTAACCATGTTACTGAAAGTGTACTACGTGGTGTGAGATGTAATCTAGAAATGAACGACTAGACGGAGGTGGAAAAGCAGAAGTTTTGATTGCATAATAGGTGTGAAGAATGACCTACCGAATCCAAATGAACCAAAACTGGTGTAAATGTGCTGAAGTATTTATACAAAAACTATTCAAGGAATGCAATTTTATTGACAAATAATAATAACACAAAATAATAATATTCATAATAAACTTAAGCAACAAGCGAGAAAATGAAACAAAATCAAGGGAAGAATGTTACCCATGTTATGGTCAAATGGGTCAACGCAATGCATCTGCAGGTAGAGGTTAGGTTTCTGGCCTCGAACAACCAGTGAATCGGTTATGTATAAATGGCGTCTTTTGAGTCATTTTGTGCAATAATATGAAGTTTTGTGTATCACTGTGAAGCCTGAAAAAGATTTCATCTCTCGTATAAATTTTGTATAAACACTTTACCGCGTCCCCACCAGTTTTGGTTCATTTACATTGACTGGGTCATTCTTCACACCTACTATGCAATCACAATTTCTGCTTTTCCACCTCCGTCTAGTCGCTTGTTTCTAGATTACATCTCACACCACGTAGTACACTTTCAGTAACATGGTTACTAGTATATGATTGCTTTTATGAATTCCTTGATAAATATAAATACGATTGTACAACTGTTGAGAATTATTCTTCGAAAAGAAAATTTCCTTCGTTCTTACATCTTCTTATATTTATGATTCACAACGGGAATTTTTTGTTTATGAAGGAATATACATGAGTAAACTGTTAGGCATGTAGGCGTCTGAGTGATTTTAAATGATATCGTACGCTGTTTTTAACCAACCACTCCCTATATATAGCAGGTTTTAACTAAATCGCTTATTTAGTTTTCTGTACAGTTCAAAGCTAGAGTTCGAGTTTTCACTCTCTGATGTTACTTTTTAACCTTTATCAAACTGGCACATTTTCATTCTATTTTTGACTCCTATTTAACAATAATTTCACGTAGAGAATGACTAAATACATATCAACAAAATCACGATGTGCATCGAATTGTCAGCTTCCTTCATTACGGTAAAGTGACCTTGCTATTTTAATATTGACTGGATAGGATAATTCAATGAGTACTCATTGAATGCTTATAAACGCTATGCAAATGCTGTCAATAACACCAGTAAAATTAATCGTTGAAACTTAAATCTTTACTTAACATTTTAAGGAAGGATTAATTTTACGTGACAGACTTTACATTTAGCAGCTTAATTGTGATCCTTATGTTTTATACTCTAATTTCATATTAGTTATCGAAATTATCACTGGTAGGTAACGCTACATTACAATATTTCAATTCATTAGGTATGTAAAGTAAAAGTTGAACAATGTAGTGGATAGTTTCACTCAGAAATTAAATATATACACACGTATCATTATTATTCCCTTAGGTTCCGAGTGAAAGATATAGCTCCAATAACAAATCTGCATTTTATCTTGTTTTCTGTAGTTCACTTTAGACAGTTCCATGATTACCCGAAAGCTTTCACCTCCACTCCACCCAAGCGCCTCTGTATCACCCTGGGACACCTAACTTCTGGGTTTCAAACCGGGATCCACTCAAGAGCTTGGCGCGCGATGTCACTCAACGACCTCTTCGGCATATATCCAATTCATCATCATTCTCAACGACATATTTGTTGGTCAAGACGTTCTCGATTGGTGCATTTATTCAGTTCCCTGTTGCTTACCTTTTCCAGCGGTCTGATCTCCAAAGTAGAATGAAGGCAGATGTGCATAAAACTCTCTTGCCTGTTGGTGAAGCTCTACACTGCTCAACCAGACAAAAGCAGTGATTTCACGAAAGTCTCGAAAACTCGAAACTTATTCCTCAGTTGTGCTGATTGTAATTAAGACGATGCTACCTAGATAAGTGACACAGGTGACCTTTCTGAAATTTATCACGTAGATAGTGATTGGTGCATGTCATTGGTTTCGTATTTATAAGCTGGTAATTGATTAATATTACTGACGGTTAATTTCAGCTAGTCAGAGGAGACAAATATTTGAGATCTTCGAAAATAAAGCCATTGCTGATCTGTCTAGATAATTGCACTGACTTTTTTTCACGAATCGTTGAGAAAACATGGACAGATTTGTTATATGCCGGTAATTTTACTAGATCATAAAATAACTAGATTTGACAGGCCAAGCCAACTAGAAATAAGACTGGCTTCAACCACTGAATGCTCAATCAATTACATTTGAAGCATATTTAACTGGATCACCTTTGAAGCCCGAATTTACGCATCCAATCAGACAAGTTATGCATATATATATATATATATGAATCCATGTCTATTTTACTTGGCCTATTTGTTGAGGAATAGGTTCTCGGTTAGTTGATTTCCATATTTCCTTGTTTCTAATCCCTTCTGGTCATCTGGTCTTCAGTATGGAGCGAAGATAGCTGTTAAGAAAGACCTGCAGTAGTCTGTTGATAATGGTGTCTGTAACACATGCATTGAGTGTCTGAAACACATAGAAGAAATAAGAGATGCAAATCAGAGGATTGTACTTGATGCTGAGTGAAGCAGATTTCCATAGTGATTTTAAGGCAATGAATGTTTGGTAATGTCTTGCATTTCCAATCCTGCTTATGACATACTTATCCAAGGTGGCTATAGTTGAAATGATGCTGCCCATGTGATTGACACCGATTCGTGCTTGCTGTTCGTTTTTGGTTGTCTTCATCATCCATCACTTCTCTATGTTCACTCGAAGTGCCATCTGAGCCGCTTCTTCTGACTACTTGTTGGTCTCCGACAGTAGATCTTCCGTATTTTATGTGACATTCAGACATAAATCATCCTCGAAGACCAGAACTTCTACAGTCTTCTTGTCCGCTCAGCTCATTCCTGTCTACCCGCTCCCCACACATGGCCTAACGCACAATCCACCCCACCACCACTAGGAATATCATTGGTGGCAGTATTCAGCCTTGTATTGCTCCCCACTCCATTTCAAAGGCTTCTCAGTTTGATCAGCACATGATCTGCTCACCTTGAATCCGGCTGGTTCCGGACAGAGTTTTGCATTCAGTCTCTCCACCATGACACGAGTTAATATGCTGCTGGAATTGGATAGGAGCATGATTCCGTGTCAGTTTATGCAGAGGACTGAGTTGACATTCCTTGGTGGTTTAACAGGGTGCGGCTTTTCTTCTAGTCATTATGTACCTCTCCTTCCCTCCAAACTTTGTGTACTGGTGGTGTTAGGATGTCCTCTGAGGTTGGATGGATCCGTTTTTTAGTGCTTCCGGAGAAATTCCATCTTGTCTTGCTTCCCTTGCAGATAGCCTCCATTAATCTCTTGACATCCAGGACTTTCGCTTCTGTTAGTGGATTGGTGTTCACTAGTGATTCTGTGGGTGTTGTTGGTATTTCTGTACGAGTTGAAGGTGTTGGTTAGTTCGAGAGTTTTTTTAAATTGATTGGTCCATTTTTTTCTTTGCTTGTCCGTTTTGGTAATTACGTCGCCTTCACAATGTGTCATTGGTTTTACTTGTGTTGATCTATCCCTGGACAGCGACCTGGCTATCTGGTATGATGTGAGGTGCATTGACTGTATGATGGGAGCATATTAAACAATTCGGAGAGTATATATATGTAAAATTCATTACCTCATTGGCATGCGTCTATTGTATTTTCTTGTCTGCCATCTTTTTCAGCTACCTCCACGAATGGCAATATACTTTTGTTTTCTCTTCACATGATCGCTTTTATGTTACACTGAAACATCCGACTCGCCACTTTCAATTCAAATAATATTTGAATGTTTGGAGTCTGATGTTACCTTATAGGTGCCTCAGCATATACTCCATCTTTACAGCTCTATTTTTTTTCTGCATATTTTTGGGGAACAATAGGTTGTTGGTTTGTCTGCTGCTAGAGCTTTTCTTGTTGCTTATACTATCCTGCCGGTCATTCGATCTCCAGTCTGTTGAGAAAATATTTAGTCACACGGAAGCTAAGACTGAACAATACAGAAGCAGTGACTCGAATGTCTATCAGTTTAAATTATTTTCATCTTCTAATAGTGAACTTCATGCATTGAGTTACTCTCATCAATGTCTTTCTCTTTTATTCATAATTTCAAGGTTGTTCTCAAAAGTCGGCATACAACCCCTTTTTCATTGACGCTTTAAAAAAATCAGTGCTCCAACTTTGTATCACACTGGTAGGTTGTGAAATTGCACAGCTTTCTGTTGTGGTATTTTAGTACCGACTGATTCTAATAATCAATAATATTCTGTTAGAATTCACAACTAGGTATAATATTGTTTACCATCCAGTAACCAGGCTAAATTTAGGCAAAACGTACATTCAGTGTTATCTCCATGTGTTGATTACTTCATGAAAATATCAATCTGAATTTTTTGAAAATAAGAAATGTTTTGATAACCATTCGGAAATAACTCAAATAACCAACTATTAATTTGTAATAGCCCAATCCTAGTGACCGATCAATGCACATCTTAAACAAATTAAATATGATGGTTGTTAAATTATATTTTATCACTTGTTTTTTGTTTTTTTGAGTACTGCTCATATTATGTTATATTATACTATATATTTCATAAACACTGAAGTTACTCAACAACTAAAGCATATGACATATTTGTG